TATGATGGTGTTCCAGCAGACACCTGGACGGTGTTCCAGCAGACACCTGGATGGTGTTCCAGCAGACACCTGGATGGTGTTCCAGCAGACACCTGGATGGTGTTCCAGCAGACACCTGGATGGTGTTCCAGCAGACACCTGGATGGTGTTCCAGCAGACACCTGGATGGTGTTCCAGCAGACACCTGGATGGTGTTCCAGCAGACACCTGGATGGTGATCCAGCAGACACCTGGATGGTGTTCCAGCAGACACCTGGACGGTGTTCCAGCAGACACCTGGATGGTGTTCCAGCAGACACCTGGACGGTGTTATTATAGCGACAACACATTAGTGGGCTTTATATGGTTCGTGGGAAAAGGAAGAAGATTGAATAGGCTCGGCAGTATCTAGGACTCATCAAGTGATGATACTTATTAGTTATAATGTGATTATATCACATCCTTAGCAAGATTAATGTAAGTGAAACTAGTACAATATTTATTTACACCTCTCGGTATAAATACTCCTCGTAAATGAGGAGAAATGATATAGAACATAAGGTAAGGTAATTATCAAGAGAGAGCACTAAGCCAGTACTACTGCACTATACAGCACTTGTAAGGGACATGAGGACAAGAAGCTGGGATAAGACGGGGAGGGAAGGAATGATGGCTAACTACTTAGTGTTCAATGGGACTCGAACACCGTCGGGGATCAAACACCGACCTGCAGAAAGTGAGGTCTTCGCTGTAGCGACTAGTCCGAGCGGTTGGTATAGACACAGTTATACCTGAACAGCATTCCTCTGGTGTGGAAGGAATGGTAACTTACACACGTGCGGGAAAGATGGGTTTCTTGCTGAAATAAATGAAATAATACCGTTGTGAAAATTGAAGCATTTTACAAAGGATAACGAGACTGATTAAACATTCTGTAGATAAGAGTTTCACAACCTTCAAGCTCTTCGAATAAATTAAAATTCTATGATGACTTAATGAAAACTTAGAAAACATTAGTTCCTTTTCGCGATAAGTAAGAGTGCTTCAGCGCAACTTTTTTTTTTTTTTATAAATATATAGATTTGGAGTCTTATCTTAACTTGAGGCGGGTGCCTGAAATACAAGAGGAGTCTGTCATGCAGAATGGCATGACATTAGCAAATATACTTGGAACTTATGTTGAACTTTCTGTTCTTTGCAGCATTGGCCCAATGCTTGAGCATGCATCAGTACCGTTACTCGAAAGACAGAGTGTGCTGTTGGGTAGAGTAAATCGCAATATTTATTTTAAGCCAGGTGCGGCTCACACAAGTTTCCTCACTGAAGGTATAATGGCTGACAATGGCTGCCACTCTGTTTTGGAATTGTTCTGAAAAAAATAGGTTTATTGCGTATTAGGAATCAGAAGACGAGCTTCTCGAAATTACAAATTATTCGACATATTAAAAACAAAATTTTTGGGAAACTTTCACCTGATATATAGGGAAGAGAACTGAAAATAACAAGACGGAAAGCTTAGCGAGGCGATCAATTTTATAATAAATATAATACAATTTAACAAAATATGACACCCCTTCGAAAAGTGAGTTTATTTCATACATAATTTGCCTGTTCCCAATCTATATAAATCAGAAGGCAATAAAAATATGTAGACTTGTTCAAGAGTGATATACCGAGAACAGTGAGAGAAGAGAAGGAAGCTAGCAACAGCGCGGAGGCTTCAGACACGGGAAGCTAAGATGACACGCGACCATAAGTACACTTGAGAATGTGAAGACGATCAAGGGCTTTCTTGTGATCTTTCGGAAGAGACTGCACATATGAGGAACATTAGGAATATATCAACGCCACAAAGTTAAATGTCTATGAAACATCAAAATACGTGTTAGCTGGTTCAATAACCAGCTAACACATAATTACAGTCTACCCATTTCAAGACCCCGAGCCAATGCAGAGACAGGATCCAATGATCCTACCTCAGGAACATAAGCTGCCCTTGTTGACACATTTAATTCTCATTAATACCCCTTACGTTATGCCATTCATCCACTTGTTCTTTAGCACTTCTCCCAAAGAGAATATAATCCGGTGCTAAACACAGTAAACTTGTCTTTGAGAATGTAAGAAGTACCTTGCGAAACGCATCCCAAGGCGTCTTATAATAATAAAGTGTGAAAATGAACTTTAGAGAGCTAATTTTTCAACTTCCCTCGATATTGAATAAAAACATAAGAGATATTGAGGAGATTCGTGTTAGAATCTGTTGTTGAATATGACCGAAAGGTTAAGATTAATGATTCTAGCACAAATCTTCTCAATATTTCTTATGTTTTTCTTCACTGTCAAGGGTAATTGAAAAATTAACTCTACAAAGTTCATTTTCACTTTTTTATTTATGGTCTGACACCTAGAAGCGTTTCTCAAGAGACTTTTCACATTTTCAAAGACAAATTTTTATGTATTCCGTTTCATGCTTATATTTGTTTTTGAGTGAGGTGATAGAACACGAACCAAAGGGTATAATCATTGGGTAAAGATAATTTTACATAGTCAGAACACGAATTATTGCGTATTTTCTCTTCTTGCTTCTGTGTAGGTTCCGGGTCTTGAGGTGGGTAGAATGTAATTATGTGTTAATTGGCTGTTGATTGCTGGTGTTGACTTTTTGATGTGTAGTGCCTCGCTGATGTCGAGCCTCCTGCTGTCGCTGTATCTGTCGATAATTTCTGTGTTTCTACTATAGAATTACGTTCATCAAGTGAGTGATACCAAAAATGGCCACATTGACTTTCCAGGCGCACCTGGAGGCTGTAGGCTGACATTCTCAAGTGAAGAATCACCGGGCCACGAACAAGATCATTACTGACAAACATCATCACCACAACAAACATTGTTGTGGTGATGACCACAGAATGATGAATGTTTGTTGATCATCACAACAAACATTTATTATGTGCCAAATACTTCCTGTAATAACATTATCATTTGTTCAGGTTGTTGTTATTGAGATCTCGTAGACTGAAGACATTTTGTACCAAGATATGGCCCGGTTTGACTAACCATTGTGCGAGATTGGGATATTTAGCGTCTTTAAGCTAACTTAAAGACGCTAACTTAACTTAAGCTCTGTGTAGCGTTTCATACATTCTAGGGTTACCCTGAGGTGCTTCCCGGGCTTAGCGTCCCCGCGGCCCGGTCGTCGACGAGGCCTTAAATAGTAGCTGCCTAAATGACCAAGCACCTTAGTATGTTAGCAAAAAACAAAATAGCTATTAAAAAGCTCTGTTTTGCACGATGCGTAACGAAGATAAATCTTGTTCGTGTATTTGTCTTAAGTTATAATTCTCTAATTGTGTAGCAGTAGTTGCAAATTTTTCCCACACTAAAAAACCGTGTCTCGAAACGGTTTTCTGATTATTGAATTATTTCTGAACTAGTGTGGTTCAGTAACTTGTAAGTCGACTGGCCTGCCATTACTGACAGATGGTTGAAGGACAAGTTGATTTCACCATTTCCTTGATTAAATGTGTAACTTCATTTAAAAATTATTCACGTTTGTCAAGCAATACGTTCACTGCCTTTACATATGGGACTAATAGAACAAGAACCCGGCAATGTGATGTTATAGTGGCCAGAATACGCCTGGGATATAGACGTATCTGGCAGCTTTCTCAAAACCCAAATGTCGAGTACACAATGTGTCAACTTTGTGAAAGAGAAAACATGCACTCTCTTGAACATTATATTGTAGAATGTCCCATACTGACTGACTTTCGCCCTCCTGGGCTAAGGTATGCTGAACTCTGTAGTTACTATATGAGTACTGGAACACTTGATGATATATTGGACTTGTATCCAAAATTGACCATGTAATGTATCAATCATACAATGTATGTATGTGATGTAACTATATAACCTGAGCTTGTAAAAGCACCTTCATCACCTTCAGTGATTAAGTGCTTAATTGCACACTAGTTTCTTTATCAGCTACCTCACCCTGTCAGGGTAAATGAGACAAATGTATGTGAATGCATGTATGTGTGTATATATGTATGTGTATGTGTGTGTGTATGTATATGTATGGGTATAAAGCATATATGGAAGCTGATCAGAATTACATTTCACCTTTGTGAATGTACATTAATGACACTATGTAAAAGACACATCTAATACTTTATGTAGGGCGTACGTAAATCTGTGTATCTTTGTATTTACGTATGTAGGTTAGCTTAGCATTTTAAAAGCACCGAATCACCTTCTGTGGTTGAGTGTTCAATAAACCCTTGAACTATATGTTTAACACTTCTCTAACCCTGTCCATGGAGGACAGAAGAAAGTGTATATATGCTGGTTAGCATTGTAAATGTGTGGCCACGTCTGTGGTAGAAAATAATAATAAAAAAAAAAAAAAAAAAAAAAAAAAACTGCCTTTTCGGCATGTGGATGAGGAGCATGTTGAGACGAGGACACACATGCACATATGTGGCCAACATGACAACCAGCCTTACACACCTGACTACCTTGAGTCACAGCAGCCAGGTGTACTGGCACCAACACTCCAAACGGTCCCTTATAGCACTCCATTATCCCACAAACAATAAAATTACATTATTGGTCCAAACATGAAATGTGTTGAACTGATTTAAAATTAAAAGATTTTGAAGCAAGAATGTACCATTTAATCTCCAAAATCCTTTCTGATAAACTCATTACACCTTCTTGTATAAATGAATATATATACCAATGAGTTTGGTGAGCTATTTAGAAAAGGGATTTAGATAAAAGAGCAGTGACGGAATGATTAGTTTTAGTGTGGAGCTAATGACTTTAGCTAATAGCATTGGCTTTCTTGCTCTCAGGCATTCACTTATTTCACTCAGATCATTCTGTTTTTACTAGAAATATGAAGATGATTGTAAGAGACAACTTAGGAATGAGTGACATGAATAACTGTGTGCCGCTCAGGTCTCCAGGTCTGAATCAGTGATATATCAGGCCCCCAGATCTGTATCAGTGACATATCAGGCCCCCCAGGTCTGTATCAGTGACATATCAGGGCCCCAGATCTGTATCAATGACATATCAGGCCCCCAGGTCTGTACCAGTGACATATCAGGGCCCCAGATCTGTATCAATGACATATCAGGCCCCCAGGTCTGTATCAGTGACATATCAGGCCCCCAGGTCTGTATCAGTGACATATCAGGCCCCCAGGTCTGTACCAGTGACATATCAGGCCCCCAGGTCTGTATCAGTGACATATCAGGCCCCCAGGTCTGTATCAGTGACATATCAGGCCCCCAGGTCTGTACCAGTGACATATCAGGCCCCCAGGTCTGTATCAGTGACATATCAGGCCCCCAGGTCTGTACTAGTGACATATCAGGCCCCCAGGTCTGCATCAGTGACATATCAGGCCCCCAGATCTGCATCAGTGACATATCAGGCCCCCAGGTCTGTACCAGTGACATATCTGCAGGCCCCCAGGTCTGTATCAGTGACATATCAGGCCCCCAGGTCTGTACTAGTGACATATCAGGCCCCCAGGTCTGCATCAGTGACATATCAGGCCCCCAGGTCTGCATCAGTGACATATCAGGCCCCCAGGTCTGTATCAGTGACATATCAGGCCCCCAGGTCTGTACCAGTGACATATCAGGCCCCCAGGTCTGTATCAGTGACATATCAGGCCCCCAGGTCTGTATCAGTGACATATCAGGCCCCCAGATCTGTATCAGTGACATATCAGGCCCCCAGGTCTGTATCAGTGACATATCAGGCCCCCAGATCTGTATCAGTGACATATCAGGCCCCCAGGTCTGTATCAGTGACATATCAGGCCCCCAGGTCTGTACCAGTGACATATCAGGCCCCCAGGTCTGCATCAGTGACATAATTCTATGATAGCACCTCGGTCGTTTAACTAGGTAATATTGCCTACAAGTTTAGCGAGGAACTGTAAACATTCCAGGAATGTTTAGCTATTGGCCGTGATGGACCAGGATCAGTGGGAGCCTATCATTGGAGCCGACCCCCGGCCTCATGCTTAATGTAAGACTGTAGCTTCAACGTTGGCTGTTATTTAGGGGAAAAGAGCCCATTCTCGGGTAAAAAGAATCCCTGGTCATTAGTTTAGTTTATTGAGGATGAGTTTATGTGTGGTGGAGCGGGAAGGTGCATATTCTCTCTCTCTGTCTCTCTCTCTCTCTCTCTCTCTCTCTCTCTCTCTCTCTCTCTCTCTCTCTCTCTCTCTCTCTCTCTCTCTCTCTCTCTCTCTCTCTCTCTCTCTCTCTCTCTCTCTCTCTCTCTCTCTCGCTCTCTTCTCGCTCTCGCTCTCGCTCTCTCTCGCTCTCGCTCTCTCTCTCTCTCTCTCTCAAAATTGTATAGATGAGAGCTGAAGCCAGTTCACGTCAAGTCTGCGCAAGGGTCAAGCCAGTTCGGACCAACTTGGCGCAAAGGCCAACCCACTTCAGGTCAAATTCATCTCAAGAACCCAATCGTGTAGAAGATGAAAGCTGTGGTCTCTCCCCCATGCTGACAACTCTGCCTGTCTCTCACCTCCTAATGACACCCAGTACATTTACCTGTTTCTTCAACTGTCCCCGAAACGCTACGCGTATTAGTGGCTTTAGGTATTGTATTTACTAGCTCTATTTATAAATCTAACATTATGTTTGTAAAATCAACTATGTATGTACTTTTCCCGAATGAAGTATTTATTTATTTATTATTTATGTCCTCTTAAAGCTTTTCACTTGTATTGACAATAAGATTTATTCACATTCATGTCGCTGGTCGCGAGCAGTGACTTGAGGAGCCGCTGGTGTCTTGAGCAGTTACTACTTGAGTGCTTAAATAGCATGATGGTTAACAGGAACAATAACTAGTGGAATATCAACAATTACCACAACTGACAAGTGGAGTTACAGCAGCTGGAATATCATCAACTGGCACTGACATGAGTAGAACTGACATGAGAATTTATTACTGACAGTAGAAAGAATTACCAAACATGAGTAACAGCTGTTGATATGAGTAACAGCTGTTGATATGAGTAACAGCTGTTGATATGAGTAACAGCTGCTGATATGAGTAACAGCTGTTGATATGAGTAACAGCTGCTGATATGAGTAACAGCTGTTGATATGAGTAACAGCTGCTGATATGAGTAACAGCTGTTGATATGAGTAACAGCTGCTGGCATAAGTAACAGCCACTAGCTGAACCAACAACCACACAGTAAGATCATCAACCACCATCAAGAGTAACCAGCAACACTCACAACAACCACCAACATGGCAGTGGCCTCCAAACATGCGACAACAACATGACGACCACAACCAAAACATTATAGCATGCCAACATATGCTGCTGGTCTGTTGAGACTTAAGCAATATTATGTGAGGAAAGATTCGTTGTTTTAGTCGACTGGCAGCTGGAAAATCGGGGCTTCGGAGCTTAGGTTCGAACCCTGTGAGGAAATAGAAGGGTGTAAACCAGGTATGGTGGCTGACGGTAGACACGTATAGGTGTAAACCAGGTATGGTAGCTGAGGGTAGACACGTATAGGTGTAAACCAGGTATGGTAGCTGAGGGTAGACACGTATAGGTGTAAACCAGGTATGGTGGCTGAGGGTAGACACGTATAGGTGTAAACCAGGTATGGTGGCTGAGGGTAGACACGTATAGGTGTAAACCAGGTATGGTGGCTGAGAGTAGACACGTAAACCAGGTCATCTACTAGGTATAGTAGAGAGCTGCGGCGGGAGAGGAAGTGCCGTATAAACAGTACCCAGAACAGGCTACGTCAGAGGCAGCGGAACCTGAGCTTGGATTCATTAAACATTTACCTGTCCACTTACGAAACCTGTACATCTTTCCTCACTCATGGTGGCTTAGTTTACATTGAGCTCCAAAGCGCTACGAAATTTTCTATAATAACTGTAGCCTTGGGTTGTGAAGTTTAGAAGATCGTATACTCTTAAGTAAATACGCACTAAGTCGCCATGATCGAGAAAAGATGTACAGGTTTCGTAAGTGGACACGTAAATGCTTATTAAACACTAAATGAAGCTGTGGAAATACTGAGTACACATCTACGTAGCCTCTATAGCACTACACCTCAGACAACACATCCATCAACTATTTAAAAAGACACAAATTTTTGTGTTTTACGGGCTATTCATTCCCGTACCACCTTCTGGTTGGCTTAATCTTAATCAATCAATCAATCATCTTAGATTGTTAACAGTGGAGAAATAAGGAAGCGCTTGGTTACTGAATCACCTCAGCAAGTCCTGATTTCCAGGATAATTGGAAATCTTCTTTGCCCATTGTTCCTTCGAGTCATATATGTCTCTTGATAAATGCCTCGGTGACTCTCCTGTCTTTGATATCGCTTTTATTTTGTCATTCTTCTCTCACATTGGCCACCTGAACATGTCTAGGAATATTGTCATTCTTCTCTCACATTGGTCCCCTGAACATGTCTAGGAATATTGTCATTCTTCTCCACATTGGTCCCCTGAACATGTCTAGGAATATTGTCATTCTTCTCCACATTGGTCCCCTGAACATGTCTAGGAATATTGTCATTCTTCTCCACATTGGTCCCCTGAACATGTCTAGGAATATTGTCATTCTTCTCCACATTGGTCCCCTGAACATGTCTAGGAATATTGTCATTCTTCTCTCACATTGGTCCCCTGAACATGTCTAGGAATATTGTCATTCTTCTCTCACATTGGTCCCCTGAACATGTCTAGGAATATTGTCATTCTTCTGTGACACAGACGGTGCTTAATAGTCTTCCAGGCTTGGTGGCTTCTCGTCGTAATTACCTACCCAACTGCTGACCAGTATCGTGACGGTGATTCAAAAAGTAGTCAGAAACGTAGTGGAACACTATTCCTGAAACGTGTATTCTCCACGGTGGTGCAGGAACTAATCACACATAAAACAGTCTAGTGGAACACATTCATAGAATAAAAATCATACCTCACAACCAACAAAGAATCAAGGAAAGATACTTAAGCTTGGTGAACTAGACTTCTACGACAGGGAATGTCAGCTGTTCAACACACGGAAGACCAAGAAAGGGTTGGCCGGATGTTCTTGTATTACAAGAACGTTTTGGATATATCCCGATGAAGAGTAATATGCTAAATAACTAGAAACTTGAAAGCTAAGTAACTGGAAACCTAGTAAACTGCAACCCGTTCTCGCACTTGCTTACTGTCAATATTGGCTTATTTAATAAGTGCATATGTGACATACTAATTGAATGTGAATATTTTAGTTTACCTTGAAAAGCTTCATAGAAAACATCGACCTCACCTAACCTTCTTAGTATGTTAAGATAAGCATCTTATTGCTTCATATTTACAATTATTACTTAACCTATACCGTTGATAGGTTGTAAACTGTGCGTCGAGGTACTTGATGGTAGAGAACACTGGTTGTCATTATACTGGAGAAGCCGGGGTGGGTAACAGTACCAGTTCTTGAGGAACAAGTCTTGAGACTGTCCCTCATCTTGGTAAGTAACCTGCCTTAGCGTGTACAGCCTTACATGACGATATTTCCAGGAGCCGCAAAACTGTTGAGGAAGATAAGAACAGTCAAAGACCGCAGCATACAACAGGTAGCCTTGAGGATGTAACCAAGTGGTAGATGACGTGAGTAGCATTAAGAGCCTAAACCCAAAAATCCTTCAGAGCCTTGCACACTACCAACGTGAGACCGGTACTGGAATATGCAGCACCTACGTACATATCTCAGCTAATTAAACAAAAACAAGGTAGAAAATGCCAGAAGTCTTCCACGAGACTCATATTAATCCAATTAATCCATATTAATCTCATATTAATCCACGAGACTCATATTATATCCAAACTCATATTAAGCTTTATCCGACTAGTTTTTTCCTGGAATATGATTCGGCGGTCGGTTTACCTCCAGGTCCCAGTTACTGGGGGTATTATAGGGGCGAACAGTTAAGGACTGGCGTCCCACAGTGCCTCTACTGGAGAAGCTCTAAACCCATTTACCAGCAATGGAAGAGCTGCTAGAAAGCTGAAAGACAGCAACTTTATTACCTGAACTCACACTAGCAGACAGGAAGGAAAACTAAAACTTCAAGCCAGTCACTAACATGTTTACCATGCAAGACACTAGCCAGAATAATAAAGAACCATCTTTAGCAATAACTAGACAGCAAGTCCTGCCTGATATACGTTGCACAGTTCTATGACAAGCTACTGGAGGTCAAGCCGGAAAGTTAAGCATGGGATGACTGCATCTTTCTGTTCTACCAAAAACGGTTTCAGCACTGTTGCATATATGGGACTTTCCTTTCCTCAAGAGAGTAACGGGAAGGGTTCTGCAATGTGTGAGAGAAGCACCTGTCAAACAGGATCGAAAGGAGACGAATCACGATTGAAGAAAAGTGACAAGCAGGGTACCGCAAGGATCAGTACTTGGAAATATTATCTTCATAATATAAGTTAAAGCCCCTAACCGAAGAAGTAGGCTCCTAAATGTCAGTGTCTCCAGATGATGCGGAGCTGTTAAAAGATCAAGACGGAGGAACTAAAGACATTTCCAGAAAGAGCTGGAGAAACGGCAGAGTTGGTCTAAGAGTTGGCTGTTTGACTTCAACACAATAGCATTCAAAGGGATGAGAGTTCCGCACGAGGCAACCTCTTGAGTTAGAAGAGAATCATCTCTGAATGTGAGAAACAACACAGCCTCGTATGAGCACATTAATAATTTTGTAATTAGCGTCAAAAAATTATTATTTGCTTAGCTAAACGCACTAGAGGGTTCAGTTCCCGAACCGATCATGTGCATCTGTAATCCTTTACACCACCGCCCACGGGATGGGTATGGGGTG